TATCACCAAGTTACATTTAAATTAAAGTCCACAGAGACCCTCCAGGGCTAGTGAACTATGATTATTACATTACAAGCTCTTTCCTTTATAAGATCTACTGACGAGAATACTTTTGTAATTATGCTAAATAAGGGTTCAGTGATGGTAAGTGATGGTTTCCCAGTCACACAGTCTCGATGTCACTTAATACAGTGGCACCTAGAACTGGAAAATATATATAAAAAGGTGCAGACTATGCAAACAGTATTTTTCTGTATCACCAAGTGTTTTCATTTGCACATCCCTTCACAATTAAATTATTTTATGATATTACTTCCTTTTGCTAGAACAAATAGAAAGAAAGGTATTTTAAATGCGTACCATAGCTTCTCAAATCTCAGATTCATTTAAATTTTGGCAATTTTAGCTGTAGTTCACCATAAATTTCATTTAGAACACCTTTTTAAATTTCATCTAAGAAGATATTTTATGATTTGAATTTGATGAAAACTTATTGTTGTGCATAGTGCTTCACATTCAAAACATCCTTTACATGTTTTACCATATTTGTGTAATTGTTTGACATCAAAACAAACAGATAAAATATTAGAAGTGCTCATTTGACTGCAGAATATGACTTGAACGTAAAAGTAATTTAGAGATCATGATACCATGCACCCTGATGACATTAAGCCCTGTGATACTTTCTTTATTCAGGTGTGGAATGTCCTCTATACTGACCTTTACAGTACAGTCTTCTGAGGCACTAGCAATGACATTGTCATCATGTGGACACCACTGAATGTCCAGCACAGGAGCAGCATGACCACACACAGTTGGAGTGGACTGGTCCACTCTGCCACTCTAGTAAAAAGACACAAAACGACAAAACTCGTATTTCTATTTTGAAAGAATATATTGTTGCTGTGTGAACAAAATCCGTTTTTGTTGCCAGTTGCCCTTTACATTGTAGGAAAATGTCATGACAAACTAGAATCAAATCTTATTACATTAACTGAAATTGTTACTCTCATTATAGCTTCTAACGAATAGCGAAGTAACGCTTTATCTAGTCATCAACCAGTTACTGTTATCAGTTACAGATGAATTTATTTTTTCCTAATTTACTGAGATATATATTGCTAACCTTGGTGAGTGGTAACACAAGAAAGGCTCCACCCCCTCCAGCCTCAACAATAACAGCTATGAACTTCGGATTGGCTGCGCAAAGTGGTCCCTCCCATGTGACACGTGTAACTCTGACATCATCCAGGCAATGCTCTGCCTTCCACGCCTGGGCGAACACATGCCGGAACTTACTTTGCCTCACTACGCCCCTCCGGAAGGACATGACTGCAGAAAAAGCAACAGAGTAAATTTAAGGCATTGCTAATAACTCATGAAAGCTAATAGAAGCTGCAGATTAGATAAGGCTAACTGGTTTTACTTGCTTTCATTCATTGTTAGTCTAATTTGTGTTTTTGGATGGACTTCAGTGCACTCAGACATTACAGAGATATCCGCTAATAGAGGCTATTTTAAGGAGCTCTTGTCTCATCTACTTCCAACTGATGTTTACTAGCTCATTTTTACTAAATGATCAGATGTACTGGGATAAGCAGAAAGTAATATAAACGTATTAATAAGAGGGAAATTGAATAAAAAATGGATTTATCATTCAGGACCTGGCACATGCTTTTCCAATATGACCTCCATCCACCTTTCCCTTCAATGCTGTGCTATAACGAACATCAACCAACCTTTCAATAAAATCAATTAATCAAGTGCTAAATCTTCAATAATGAACATTAATAAAGTAGGTATCTAATGGACACCAATTGTACAAGCGCTGTCAACATTAAAAGAGAAGTTTACACATTTTTCACTTTTTTTGCATAATTCAGTTACTGGGATGAAAATAAAGTCATTCTGAGTCTTTTTATGTGAGATGGTGCATCGTACAGAAACATTCTGACTCTCACCACATTATGATTTCTTTACAATGCTAGTGACAGGAACCTGGGGTCAAAATGTCTACAAGGTACAAACATGTCCGTTTAATTTGAGATCCAAAATGACCAGTGAACCTACATGTCCTCCCATTTTTCATATGTAATGCTGACAATAATTAAATAATAGTAAATGAAAAAAAAAGTTTTTATAGACTACTGTGCCTTTATACACACATATATACAACACCCTGCATGTATAAAAAATACACACAAAATAACTTTCTAAGAAGGAACTTTAGGAGGCATTGAACACATCAGATGCCTGGTTCCTATCACCACCCATGTGAACAATGCAGCAAGTTTATTTAGATTGTTACATTTTACGTTAAAAATCCACCAAATTACTTTGTTTACATTTATCTAATCAAATTTTGAAAAACAGATTAAACTGCTCTTTTTAACGCATGTGGAAAGACCATGTAAACAAGGATAGACTATTGCCCAGACCTTTGGGCCCAGTGTCCGTGAGCCTCTGACTATCAGGGGCATTGGGCGTCTTGGGCAGCCCAAATAATTAAGACAATCCACTGCTGTGTGTAGATATATATTACATTATCAAATAGCCCTTCAATAAGTACAAATGACAAATACATGAAAAATGTTATGTGTTCTCAGCCCCTACCCTCTCTTTTTAATTCTTTCCAGACTATAATCTATCCTTGCAAGTTATGGTGATGACACTCACTGTAGTGCAACAGCAAATCCACTCGGTGCATATGAAGACAATGACTATAATACGATACAGCTGGCTAGTAGTGAAAGTGAAAACCCCTTCCTCTTGAAGCGTAACTGTAGAAGTCTAATAGCTCTCATCTAAATAATATATTATAATATTATTGTATATTATTTTTTTAGTGTATTTTTAGGAGATGATGACAGTGATGATATGACAATATGTATTTTCAAAAGGAACTGCCCTGAATTTTCCAAATTTCTGCATAATTAAATGGTTGACATGTAAATAAAGTAATTCAGAGTGGTTTGATGTGAAATGTTCTCTTCTAGAAAAAATTGCAGAGTCAGAATTGTTTACAGTGGTGGTGATAGGAACCAGACGTCTGAAGATTGTAATGCGCTGCGTTGTAAGGCAAAACAGTCACCAAAGAAAACTTATTTTTTCAGACATTTTAGCCATCAACAACATTCCAACAACAAAACTCATATATTTATGTGGCAATAAATAATGTGGCAATTTGTGTCGTGACCCCTAGTTCCTATCACCACCACTGTAAAGAAATCTGAGTCTGTAAGTTTCTCTACAATTAACAATTTCATGCCAAATCACTCTGAATCACTGTGTACTTCTCAATGACTGAATAATTCAGAAATTTTGAAAAATTGGTGGAGCTCCCCTTTGACGCCCTAATGAGTAACGTCCAATGAATATCTCACTGTATTTGGAAATAGCAACATTTGTGATTTAATATTCAGCGGCTATTTGCAGCATACATGCCAAATTTCCCTCAGAACAGCCTCACTCATCACCCACATCAAGGAAAAGCAGCGGAATTATCCCACAGGCGAGCGGAGCGGAGGAATCTGATTAAAAATGCAAACAGTGCTCCATTTCATATTCAGCGCTTGAGCTCCAGCGCCGCCCAGGTCTGAATGAGTGCTGAATGAATGAACAGCTCTCTTTGGTTTCACTAGAAACAATGACCCACATCCCTCAGACAAAACGCAGTTAATGACGAAACATATGTGCCGTGAAAATGGACTGAAAAGCCATTTTAAAGCCCACGAACGTCGCATTAGCCAAACAGCACACCTCAGACAGCACACAAACAAAGGCGCAGCTCAGAGGACGAGCCGCCGTCCTTTACAATGACAGGAGCGGCAGGGCCACACAGACAGGACGGGCTGTTAGGGTACTGTACCTCAGCTTATGTTTTCCAGTAAAAAACAAGAAAGAAGTATCAGAAAAGGCAACAGACAACAATAATCCAGCACAAATAGTGAGCGTTTCCTCCCTCGACGCCCAGTCTGTCAGTATCAGGGTTTACAGAGCCAGGTGGAGGAATCCAGTTCTCACGGAGAGACTAATCCATTAGGTTAGGTTTACGAAAAATAATTAGCCTACTTTGGATTTTCTCCGTGTTTTCTCTAAAAAACAGCTTAATGTTTAGTAGAAAAACAACGAATTAAAAAATAAACGTGTAAAAACATTAAAAAAGGGAATGATATTAAAAATGTAGATCCAGGCTCCGGGAGGGCATCCTGAGAAAAAAGCCTAGAATTAAGGCAAGCGTCCTATGAAGCATCAGCCGAGAGGAGGTAATACACAAAGGCCACCTGCAAGAGGAATTTTACGCATTAAAAGTCCTAGCTCTGCACCTCGTAGTTACACGCCAGCGCAACCACAGCCATAAATTATTATCAAATAAAAATTAAATGAAATATTGCATAATATTATTGTTTTTACTGTGTGGCGTACAGTAATGTAATCCTGGGGGAGGGGATGATTAACAACTTCCTGTTCCAAAACCCACACTGCTTCTGGATTCACAGCAGGTTTCAGCTTTAGCTATGAGATCTGTGTACACATCACTTTTTGGCCGTGTGTTTGTTAAATAGGAATAAATGGGAGTCTGTACACATCATTAGCAGTACCAGTACATCAGTAGACATCACCCTAATCACCCTGCACAACAGAATTCAAAATAAAAGCCCCATTCCTTATGAGTCATTACAATGTGCTACAGTAGAAATCCACAAATGAAAGGTGATCTGGAGAAAAACACCAAGATTAATGTTTTAGATCAATGCTTCCACCAACACAGTGCCTTTAATTGGATAGAATCGTATTAGATATCAGAGAAGGCCTTAATGGGTGCAGTTTACAAGGTGAAAGTTCATCTTTTTTCCAGTTCTGTGATGCTAAAAGCAAAGTGATGTTAACCCATTAATGTCTGTATCTGAAATGTTACATTTCTTTTGACCACATATGCTTGCCAGAGCACACATTTGAAGACTTTTTTCAAATACATCGAACCAAATGGCTAAAAAGTCAGGTTTTACTTCTTAAATGTAGTCTCATGGACCCTGACTAATAATAAAATAAGAAAAACTCAAAATTTGATTTGTGAATAAAAGTATTAAAATTAAACGCAGTTGAGAAATTCAAATGCATACTGTTAGATGTTAATCCAAGGTATAACTATACACAGTTTCGTCAAAAAAAAAAAAAAATCTGAAACTGAAATGAACCATTATTGCACCCACTGTCAGCTTTTTTTTTTCCACTTTCCCATTTTTTTTTCTAGTAGATTTGTAATAGATTCCCTGCAGCATGAACCGCAAGAGGGATAATAACTGGTCAGTACACTTTTACATAGATAAAAGAATTATTTTATATTTCTAGTTTGCACTTACAATCACCCATGCCTTTCCCAGAATCCCAGCACTATCCAGCAGTACAGAGAGCAAACAAAAGTAGAAATTAGACTGTCAGACACTTAATTAACAAGATTAATAAAACTGTACCCAACAGACTAACATTATATACAATTGTAAATGCCTGACCTAATGCCTGTTCAAGGTATAGACACTTTAACAGGAGGGCATAGGCTTTAACGGTGGGACTGTTCCACTTTCAGACGACCGTAAGTCATAATACATGCATTTAAGGCACATACATTCTTGATGCAAATGCAATGAACAGGCTGTAAACAAAGATGATGCTCATCTCTTAATGCAGGAAACACTTATTCTCACAACATCTTAATGCAGTTAATAATACTTCATGTCAGCATATACTCTGTTTGTTATTTACATGTAGTAATGAGAAAATGTTCATAATGATTCAAAATGTGTATTATAGGTGTGGTTTTTACTGTAACGTCAGTGTGATATATCTGCATTCAGAAGACAATTAGCATTAAAAACATACATTTTTAAGCCCAGGGTTTGGTCTTCGATCCTAAAACCACAGTTTTGCTGTAGTGAAACAAGAACAGGAGGATTCAGTTCTCTCTCGTGGTCACACAGGGCATTATTTCACACATGATCATGGACTTTCCATGTTTCTCACAGGAGTCGTCGCCATCCATTATAATACTTATCCACAAAAAGGCGTGAGCACAGTTCTGAAACATGCAGTTGGAAAAAATAGCTGTATTGCTCTGTTTAGTTCAGCTTTTTACCATAGAAAAATACATTTTTACAGCTGACATTATATATCTTGTAGCACAAAAGTGAGGAGATAGTGTATCCATAACCTGATTATGGACTCTATTTGAAGCAGTTAGCATTAAAAGAAATGGCTTTTCCAGTTACCGCCATTAAAGTCTGTATCCAAAAGCATTTATCTTTCTCTTGACCATTCTGACCATTTGTGGATCAATGACGACCATTCTGACCTCTTGTAGATCAATGACGCTGCTGAGCTGTAGGTTAGGAATTCCTACACTATCTGAGGCTGGTGGTGGATAATGCCGTAGTCTGCAGGGAGTAACCGGGTGGTCTCTGGTGCTAGCAGGATGTTGTTGGGTTTCGACTTGGGCCACAGCGTCCCGTTACTGTGTTCGAAGTGATTGGACATTGCCTCTGATATCTGAGAGCTTGTTGTCTCACTGCCCCCATTGTCTAGGCCATTCACTTCTTTTGGGACTCTCAAGACCCCTGAATCTTCACCAACTGGCCCCAGGTAACCCTCCTCCTCATCAGTGAGCGTAGGGTAGATGGAACTGCTTAAGGGGGGTGACTGGTGCTCTCTGTTGCCTACCACGCTGCCAGTTCTGCTGCCAGTTCTGCTGCCTGTTCTGCTGCCCCCTCCTGACTGTGGTCTGCCCTCTGCTGGTAAAATGGCGTTACCGTTCCGAGACCTGATAACTTCAGCAGTCTGATGATGTAGGTATGGAGAAGGCTGGAGTGGAGGGAGGAAGTGGCTATCCTAGAAATGAGAAACAGATAAAACATATAATCAAAAATCGCATAAATAACAGTGTACACTACCGTTCACCACTGTAATATTTATGATTGTTATTCACTAATAACTAATGTAGCGTAGATCGAAATGTTAAAAAATAGATACCAAATTATAAACTGAGGGTTTATTCACACTTCAAAGTATTACAGCTAAAGTTATTCAATAATAAACTGTAATTATCAGTTATACAGCTTTCTCAGTTTTTGAGGAATTATTATGAAACCATCTCCAGCTCTTTTTTTCATTTTTACTACTTCCTACAAATTGTTTGAAACATACAGAATATTAGAATTATTTTATAAGTATATATGTGATGAAACTGGTTTAATATTTTTGTAAACAGTGATTGCAAAGTTTTGAACAGAGATTACAAACCTTTGAACCTGTGAATGAGATGGAGAGACAATAGTCCAATATACTACAGTTCAAACTTAAAGTTATAATTATTAAAATTATTTTGTTTATTTTGTATAGACTGACATGTAGTAGCTGTTAAGTACATCTTCTTGTATCTACACTTAATTGAAGAACAGGCTAAAGAGGGCTAACAAAGAATGCAGAGAAAGAGATGGACTACAGTCTGTAATTGTAGAACTATAAAGTGCACCTATATGATAAGCGGAGCTGATAAAATGGACAATGAGCGTAGAAACAAGGACGTGTACTTAATGAAATGGCCAGTTGGTGTACAATAATTTATGCAGTGTAGAATTAATTCTTATATTTTCTTTATACATTTTATTATATTGTCTTATATTTTTACATTTTAAGAATGTGTATTCAATATTTCAAAGATTGAGTATATACTGTAAATTCTATTTACAATATTTTTTGTCTGCTTCAAGATTTGATTACTAATTTTCCAATATAAGACATTCAGAATGTTACCTTCATTACAGCTTCATCCTTGATGTGATGCAGATTTCTCAGTCATTTTAGAATCATCTACAGCTCTGTTCATTTATTCTGGACACATCTAACATTTCTTCTTCTTCTTTTTACAGCTAGTAAAAAAACATGTCCTACTACTAATTACATAAAAAACAATGAACTTGTAGGGGACTTCATTCTACACATTTATCTGGCATCAAATTGAATTTATGTTACTGAAAATATTGATTCTAAACTTGTAAACAGTACTGTAAAAGTTGGCTAGAACAGTGTTTATGTAATTCACTGTACAAAATTGTATGGCACTGCACAAAATCTGATGAAGGGAAATCAAAACAATGTGTGTACAGAGACATACCGAATGCACCAATGACATATTGCTGTTCTTCACAAAAGACTCCACTTTCAGTCGAGTGAAATCTCCATCTCTCTCTCTTTCCATCGTGTGCTCCCTCCCTCGTCTGGACGCATTGTAAATGATCGGTCGACCCAACGTATCCACAGCCCCTCCCAGCGTAGAGCGACTGTCTCGAGAACGGGGGTGGTCCTGAAAGAAAGAAAATAGAATGAAATTAAAACACCTGAAACTGAACAGGAGAATATAACACTATCTACAGAGGAAGAGAGAGGTCAAACACATACCAGGGAACTGAGGCTGGCACGTATTGTTCCTTCAACTCTTAGCGGTAGAGCTTCATCCATCTGATAAGACAGAATGAAAAGATATACAAAATGAATGCACAATAAAAATAATGGAATATATGTAACAGTTTCCTGGTAAATAGTGTTATTATTATTATGTGTATGTATTCATACCTGGTACTTATTTTCTGTGTTAATTGAGCCTACTCTCCTGATTGAGGCCTGCCTGGATAGAGTGCTGATTTCTTCCCTGAGAGAAAGAGAGAGATAGAGAGTGTTCTATGCAGCAACACTGATGGAGGCATGCAGGAGAATGACGACCACATCACGCAGATGTGAAACATTATGAAAATTAAGTAAATTATTGTATGAACCATCAACATCAAACTTAACAGTACAAAAATTGCTGACTTTGTTTACCATTTTGATATCTTTGAGAAAAGAAATGGGAAAGTCAGATTCTCTGTCATGACTGTGCCATGCTATCTTGAAGATTTCCTGAAATTTGATATGACTGAAAGAAACTCCCCACCACTGGCTTAATATTTTGTCAGCCTAAACTTCCAGTGTTAGTAATGTTGACATATGGCTTGTTAAGCGTAAAAATCAGTATTGAAAACCAAAAAAATGTATTGAAAAAAAACAAACAAACATTTCTCTCTTGTGATACCAATTAAAGTGGCTATTTTTGGAAAACAGTTGATAATCTCTAATGTCTTTGGAATGTTGGTTAGAATGTGGAATATGGGCTAGAATTTGTAATATAAGTTAAAATGTTAGATCAACTTAGAATGTAGGTTAGAACTGGGAATATGAGTGAAAGTTTGAAATATGGGTTAAAATTTGAAATGTGAGTTACAATTTAGAATGTTGGTTAGAATGTGGAATATAGGTAAAACTTGTAATGTGAGTTATAATTGTAATGTGGGTCAGAATTGGGAACAGGAATAACATTTGTAATGTGGATTAGAATTTGGAATGTCAGTTGGAATATGGAATATAGGTTGAAATTTATAATGTAAGTTGGAAGTGTAATGTGGGTTGAAATTTGGAAAAGAAGTTAGAATTTGTAATATGAATTAAAATTTGGAATGTGGGTTGGAATATGGAATTTAGGTTAAATTTGTAATGTGAGTTAGAATTTGGAATAGGAGTTAGAATTTGTAATGTGAATTAAAATTTGGAATGTGGGTTAGAATTTAGAATGTCAGTTATAATGTGGAATATAGGTTAAAATTTGGAACGGGGTCAGAACTTACAATACAGGTTACAATTTGGAATATGGGTTAGAATTTTAAATGTGAATTAGAATTTGGAATATCCATAAATTTGTAATATGGCAAAAAAACAAATGTGATGAAAACAAAAACAAACAAACATGTTTGAAATTAAAAAGCTTAGTGTAATAGTTCATCAGTGATTAAAACTGGTCCAAAGTTGGCTTACTTTTTCTCATTCAGTTCCATGGTCAGCTGTTTGTTTTTTCGCTTGTGGTGTCGGTTCACTGTTAGGACCACAGCCACCAGAATAACCACCACCATAAGAGCAACGGCTCCTATGATGATCAGCAGGAGGCTGTCGAATGATGCCCGTTTTTGAGGTAACTCTGTTAAATTCACACACAATCATACTCACTTAGTCACAACCAACCGACCACCCAGTAATCTTATAATCAAAATTTATGTATTGTGCACATGTATAATATAGGCACTAGGGGTCAGCAATCAGCAATGATTAGATCTAAAATAGCCCAGGGCCTGCACAGAAATAGAGGGGGGCAACTAAAGGGTCTTGGAAATATTTGTTAAGTAAAATGGTGCCAAAAGCCCATGTCTGCTCATTTAAATTCACTCAAATGTAGCACTGAATTTAGATAAAAAGTTTATTTTAACACACTGTCACCAAACTCTGGTGGTAAGATGTGAGTCTCCAGTAGTTTTGGTTCATGACAACAGCTGAAGGCCAAAGTACGGTTACCACAAGTCATGTTTGTTTATTAAAGCACTTTCAAAAAACAACAGAAGTTGTGGTACATCCGATTTAAAATATCTAAAGAAAACAGAAGATACAAAAGGAAAAGCCATTCTGTTATACAACCTCATTTCCAAAAAAGTTGGGATGCTGTGCGAAATGTAAATAAAAACAGAATGCAATGATGTGCAAATCATTTAAACCCTACATGTAATTGAAAATAGTACAAAGACAACATATCAAATGTTGAAACTGAGAAGTTTACTGTCTTTTGAAAGAAATATGCTCATTTTGAATTGATGCCGGCAACACATTTCAAAAAAATTGGGACAGGTGCAGGTTTACCACTGTGTTGCGTCACATCGCCTTTTAACAACAGTGAAATATTTTCCCTATTATTGCTTGATATAGGATTTCAGCTGCTCAACAGTTTGGGGTCTCCTTTGTGGTATTTTTTGTTTCATAATGGGCTGAATGTTTTCAATGGGAGACAGTTCTGGACTGCACCCAGACTCTTTCACTAAGGAGCCATGCTGTTGTAAGTGCAGAATGTGATTTGACATTGTCTTGCTGAAATAAGCAAGGCCTTCTCTGAAAAAGACGCTGGATGGTAGCATGTTGCTACAAAACTTGTCTATATCGTTCACCATTAATGCTGCTTTCACAGATGTGCATGTCACCTATGCCATGCACACTAATCACGGATGCTGGCTTTTGAACTGTGCACTGTTAACAAGCCAGATGGTCCCTCTTCTCTTTAGCCTGGAGTATGTGGTGCCCATGATTTCCAAAAAATTTGATACGTTGGACCACAGGACACTTTTCCATTTTGCCTTAGTCCATCTTAAATGATCCCAAGCCCAGAGAAGGTGGTGGCGTTTATGGATCCTGCTTATATATGTTTTCTTCTTTGCATGGTTTGCACAAGTTTTAACTTGCATTTGTGGATGCAGCGACAAACTGTGTTCACAGGCAGTGTTTTCCAGAAGTGTTCCTGAGCCCATGCAGTGATTTCCACTACAGAATTGTGTCTATTTTTAATGTAGTGCTGTCTGAGGGCCCAAAGATCACGCTGTCCAATTTTTGTTTTTCAGCCCTGTCCCTTGCATACAAGATTCCTCTGGATTCTCTGAATCTTTTAATGATATTATGTATTGTAGATGATGAAATCCCCAAGTTCTTTGCTATTTTACTTTGAGAAAAACCCTTCTGTTGTTAATGGATTAATCTTTGACTTTAATGCTGCTCACATGGAGCACGGAGCGCACTGATGAAGTAAGAACCCGTTTCTGTTTCTGTTTGAAAACTTATTTTCTTATCTAAAACTAGGTTGGTCAGCTAACTAACAAGCTAAAAGATAGCAACCATGCTAAACAACCCCAACATTAATATCGCAAGCTTGAATTAAAGTACCTATAATATGATTCACTGAAAAACTGCAAAATAAAAGTCTAAAGAATGTCACCTGAATGGCTTACATGCTTCAAATGTCTGTGTTTCAGTCAGAAGTAGCATCAAACCTAGGCTGAATCCGAAACAGCTCCACACTCCCTAGCTAAATAGCTGATGTGCTGTGTTACATTAAGCTTTGAAATTCTAGCTTCTGCTATTAAATGCATTGTTGGGGTGCAGGAGTTAGTATTTAAGTTCCTACGTAGTGCACTATGTAGGGAGCAGGGAGCCGTTTGAGAATCAGCCCCATCGTGAGAAAAGTGGCATTGTCAGACTGGCAGAAGACTTGCTGTGGTAATTTAATGACCAAAAGTACTTATAAACTGAAAGTATTTGCATTAAACAGTGCTATGTTACATATGTTCACTGTTATACAAAAAAGGTTTTAAAAAATCATCAAATGTATGCAGTTTATAGTGATTGGCGACCGAACATTCCTCTCCTCACTCAGCAGTCAATGTTTGCTTAGCAATGATACCGTACTCTGAAGGAACTACATTTCTTGGTGGAATACTTATGTCGATTATTATTAATAATAACTATTAATTATCTAAAACATTGTGTATTTTAATATATTTTATGTTGGCCACCATTTTATAAAAGCAATAAGCCACTCGAGGCAGTGAGTTACTGCAATTACCCACAGTAACCGCAGTAACCCACGGCCTCTCGTGGCTTATTAACTGTTTTTATTTACATTTTGCAAAGTGTCCCAACTTCTTTGGAAATGGGGTTGTATTTTCATATGAAAGTACAAAACCTACAAACAAAAAAGTAATGCGTTGACTTTGCTGGATTCACATGTGTAGATCATTTCCACATGTCTTTCAATTTACTTTTGGCAGCAATCATACTGATGTTATCTATTTGTATCGTGATGTTGATGTGATGCATCATACATTTTCTTTCGAGTTCTATTTCCATGTGAATACACAAAAACTACAAAACAACATAAGGGCAAACGTACCAGTTACAGTTATCTTCAAGTGTGATCGTCCCGACCCCACCACGTTGGTGGCTACACATTCGTACTCTCCTGCGTCTGTCAGGGTCAGAGGCCTGTTAAATTTCAGAAGCCCCTTCTCTGTCGTCACACCGTCTGGTAAACCTCCATCTTTCCTGAAGAGTGAGAACAGACAGTTCTGTAACTCAAACAGTTTAAGACTCAGTACCTGGCAATATGAATCATTTCCTAAAATGACATTCAGTCATCCTTGTCATTGGTGACAAATCTCTTGATTACTTGGATCATGCAAAACAGAAAATGCAACCAACCTCTAAGACTGAACTTTGGAGGTGAGGAAAAATATCCCTGCAGATTTCTTTGGAAAACTGAAAGCAAACTGAATACTGAAACCTATTATATTACATTTAGGCCTTTATGTTATTTTCTGTTAAATTTTCTACCTTTTGTCCTCACACACAAAAGGAGTAATTGGGTTAGAATTTAATGGCTGATTTGACTGGAAATTAAATAAATGAACGGTGTTTGACTTTTGTGAAAGGAAGCTGTAATAGGAAGTACATGGAACATATTTTACATGAGATAGAAACTCGTCTGTATGAGAGTTTACATGAGAGTTTGCATAGTGACAGTAAACTAGCTTCCCCCAAACCCCGACCACACATGTTTTAACTGGTTGCTGTCCGCCATCCTGTCTAAAGATAGCAAACAAACAAATCCAATACGTCTTATATGATGTGCCATGAAAGAAAAATGTCTGCCCATTTTAATGTACAATTACTGTCTATTTCCTGAATTTAACACCCTGGAAAAAACTATAAAATGTGGTCTGTGCAAAGGTTATGGCACCTTTTATATTATATGTTTTCCAATATGTTAAACTCGGCAAGTAAATAGAAACAGCTCATCAAAATCAACAAAACATGAAATTAGACTGGGGTGTTCAAACTTTCACACACAACTGTAAAGAAAACTATAAAAGACTTGATGACAAAAGTAAATTAATAAAATTAGATGATGTCATAATGGGCTGACAACCAATCAGCTACTTGTTGCTATGCAGTTTATGCAGTTACTACACACTAGTTGTTCACAGACTCTCTATAATTGATCTAAATCTGTCATGTTTTATGAAACATGCAGTTGTTCAGTGTTCTAGAAGTACTGATGATATCCATGATATCTTCAGAAAAGTGTATCATGATGTAATCTATCATAAATTCCACCCTTACTTCACCTCTACCAAACCCACACATGTCCACTCATCCCCCAGTCATCAGTTGTTCGCCCCATTTCTCACCCTCCTCTCCCTCCCTCCTTCGTGTGAAAGTGTGCTGCTGACGGTTTATGCACAAGCAGCAACACGATACCAGGACACAGTTACTTCACTTGCTTTGCATTTGCGCTGAGCAGACACAGAACAGGTTCTGCCACTTAGGGCACTCGCCAAAATGCATAGTGTGTGTGAAAGACAAAAGCTCAAGAAACGAGTGGCTGACTGCTTGAATGTGCGTGCATACAACTTTGAGTCACTCCTACAGATAATCACAAAATAAGGCGTGTGCACATGACTAATGAAAAAGACTGCGACTTATTTGCGCCATAATTACAACACAAATGTTTCCTCTAATACACTGCATATAAACACGGTCATACAGGCTAGAGCTACAGAAAGGTTCTATCTGGTAAACGAAAAAATCAATGAGGGTGTGCTAATAAATTTTGCTGATTGAATAACTGAGATACCACACCTTTAGACTGGATTACTGCGGCATGCAAGCGGAGAAAGAAACAGAAATGTGAAAAGCAGCTTAGGCCAGGCGAAAGAGCACTGGAAAAGGTATATTTGGATGATTGGTGACTATCCTGATGCACATTATCCCCAAGAATGTCATCACTTTGCTATACTATTCAAAAGTAATTGCATAATTAAAACATCTGCACATCTGTCTATTTTTGGTTTGTTTTCTATATTAATTAATGACAAACATATGGTAAAAATTCAGAACATCAATGCACACAAAACAGTAGCTTTCAGCCACCTTTCTTGATACTGAATCCAACAATAAAAAAGTCAGAAGTCCAGACTCGCACCTGTCAGTGCAAAATGTAAACTGAACATAAACGCAATTACTTTGCAATCAACCATTATACTTAAATGATATAGAAGAACTACAGTAATAACTGTGACTACAGGACAGTTATACTATTTTGAGTGATGCATTGGAACCATTTAAAGATTGAAAGAATCTAACATAATGTAATTATACCAATTTAAGGGTTCTTCCTTGTTGACAAAAATGGTTCTCCAAAGAACCATCCATAGAAAGGTTCTTTAGGACACCAAAAGAGGTTCTTCTATGACATTGCAAACAGAACCCTTTATGGCACATTTATTTTTAAGAGTGTAGACAGACAGTTGAATGAGCAGTTACACGATTATTTACCTGATCCAGGTGAAATTGTCTGGTTTTGGGTTTCCTTCACCATCACACTCTAGTGTCATGTCCTCCCGTCCCACATACCAGTTCTCATCATAACCTTTGATTGCTGCATCCGGTGGGTCTAACCGACACATACACACACACACAGACACACAGACACACACAAAATGCCTTTAAAGTCATCGTGAATTAGAAATCATAATATATTTTTCTTCAGTACTATGACCTATGTCTTAGTGAAACATTGTAAGGGAGGGTCTCTGAGCTAGCTGAGCATTTTTCCTTAATGATAGGTGGGGTGTTGGGAGAGGAAGGTGAAACATGATATTATTAATTATTATTTTTCCCTGACGGCTGCACAGTGATGTCATCAAAACACAGATACTCACATTTCACTCTACTATGGGAACACAAGATTTTTGTCTTTTAAATGATATGTTAAGGTTAGGTTAAGGTTACAAAACTAAAAGGATTTCAAATTGACTGTAAATACCCACTTTGTGCCCCATTTTCATTAGGGTTCATTAAGGTTACACTTCAACATGTTGAAATGCTTAATAAATGAAAATAATATCATAATAATGTAGGCACCAATGTTATACTAATCATCATTAGTAATAGTATGATGTAACACAAAGATAATAACATCATCCCAATAATAATGCTACTTAGCAATTTCCCTACATGGATTGTTACAAACTAATGCAAAACAATCAGCTGCTTCACGAACACACCCAAAATTTCTCGGAACTAAAGATGTTAAGACAATGAATCAGACAGAAACTAGGTAGTCATGCTCCTGAGGCAGACACAAAACAGGTGCTACAAACCACAAGTTCGGAGAGGTTACCAAGCAGATCTAAAGAATCTGAAGGGCATTTTCCACTGGGTGAGAGAAAGGTGTAATGGTCAATTAAGTGAGCAGATGAAAGAGGTGAACTACAATATTAGCCAAACCACTTTCTGAGTTCTCTAGAGCAATTGTTTGAAAAATGGCAGACAAACAAGCTCACTGACTTCACTGTAAAAAGTGGAAGAGGCCAGAAGGTCATTTGTGTGTTTTATGTGATTTGGACTAAGAAGAATGTTTGTGAATCTTATGTATTACTTTACTTTGTTTCAATCAAAGCGTGTATTTGCATTGAATAAAAGAAGTTAAACTGCTTATCACATAAAATATTTTTTTTTAAGTTGAACTGACTGAACATTTTTACTGTGTATGCTGTAACAGGTATTTCACCCTGCCTAAAGGCAGAAAAGTAAAAGCCACGGATTTTTTCTGGTGTGCTTCCATGATCTAAAACCATCATCACAGCTTATCTCAACACTTACTCCATCTACATGTTAACCACAGGCAACAAACAATACAACACAGATACAGATCTGTTACTCTTAAAAATAAGCAGTCCTAAATAGTTATTGTCTTGGGTGTGTGCTTCTTTAATTCGCATTGAAAAAATGTGTTCTTCACACTCATAAATCTCCTTTACAAAAAAGGTTCTTTAAGCAACCATGTGCTGAAAGGTTCTTTAGGGAATCATTCCAAAAGTTGTTTTCTAATGTAACCAAATGCAAATGAGTATGTAAAAACTGTAAAAAAGTATGACCAAGTCATACTCACAGTGCACTACAAGCTGGCTTCTGTGCCTCCGTGGGCTTTTTAGAGTCGGGTGCCAAACCAGGCAATCCATCTTGCGGCCATTCATGTAGCGCAGGGGGTGCAGGGAGAACTGGATGTAAGAGACTCCATTTTCCAGACTGCGGTTCTGGCTCTGGCCCGGTAGGTCTGTGTCCCAGGACAGACCTGGCTGAGGTTTCGCCACGGAGCGGCATGTAGCGGCCGGCCGGAACGACTGACCCTCCACGAGAATAAAGGTATCCAATGTGGAGATGGGTAAGGCTAAAGGAAGACAAAACACAAGAAACACAAAAAATTTAATAACCTGCACTACACTCATTTTTGCAGTCTTTGATGTTTGATGACATTTGAAAAATTCTAAATGTTTTTGAGGATGTAAATTAACTCCAGAACTCCACTGAGCATTTGTGACGTGTTCCTCTGAAACTACTGACAGAGACCTTTAATGTACTGATCTAAGAAACAAAACATTTTAAAAGAAAGCATTGAAAGGACATCACTAAGACACGAGATGATTACAGAGACATTAATACTGCGGCGTCTGCTGTGGGCCGCACTGCCATGTGGAGCTTGGGGGGGGGGTGTGGCCATGCTCCCGTTTTAGAAAGGGACTGTTATTGTTGCTGTTGTTGCTATGTTGATGTTGTTATCAGTGTAGTTGTTTTGCTTGGTGTAACTTGTATCCAAGAAGGGGGGCTTTGGAGTTAACCAGTGGGCAGAAGTGTCTATTCTCCTCACATGCTGTGTCCTACCGTGTTACCCCCTCTCTGTATGTCTTGCTGGGGTTAGCACTGGGCTGGGCATTTTTGAAGAGCATTTGCTCATATGAGCAATGTTTTCTGCATTTTCTTCTGAGCCAACACTGCAATATTTCAGCGAAATTAGAGGTAAATTGCATTTTTATTTTTCACTCAATTTAGCCTGCTGACAAATTTTTAGAGGTACATCTAGCTGCATCTCTGCAGACCAAGCCTTCAGCTGAGCAAAAGCCTCTGGAGTGGAAGAAGTCCAGAGCTGATCAGTTAGGCAGCTTGGGAGCTGGTTAAGTTAGCTAACTCCCAAGCTAGTGACAAAATGTTAATTATGTTTAAAATTCTATAAAGTTTGATGCCTGTAGCTAACTAGCTAAAGTAGATGGGGAGGTAGCTAGGCCTAAGCTTAACCCTGTAGGAGAGCTTCAGTCTCTACAACACGGTAATATTTGTTACAGAACCACAGTTTTATGGTGAAAAAATATCTTGTGAACACTTTCTGGCCATTTCCTTTTTGCTCTGTGTAGACTAAATGGTCTATTTCCATTTATTCATGCTGCTGATTTCCAAACATCAACCAGAATATGACTGAAACATTCATATATAGACAATGAGAAACCAGACTACAGCTAGCTTGCATTAACTAAGACTGTCAGTGTTAGGAGTTATCCCTGTGTTAAGAGGGCCCTTTATTTTCCTTTACAGTTGTATGTTTCCAGAGCTCTATGTTCCCTATGCCCTCTGTTCCCTTTTGTAATTTTGTAAACAATCCTAGTTCCCCCTGGCCCAGTGCTCCAGCCCTATTTGCTTCAATCATGACTAACGTCCATATCACTTGTACATTTACAAATCTATATACTACATATGCACATATGTAAACATTGTAAACGTTATAAATATGCACACAATACCTGGCATTGTTTTGCTGTTTCTAAATAATTTTCTCTGCTAAATCACACTTTGTTTGTTAATAATGTGTAAACATAATAAATTACTAATGACAAGATTTTTTTTTGCTGCTGATGAAGTTTCCTAGTTTGAATCTTTAAACCAGTCATGTCTAATTGGGGGTCCTTCCAGGCCAAAGTGCTGCGGAGATTAGCATTTACCCTCATCTAACATTCTGAATTCAGTTTATGAAGGCCTTGCTAATTAACTGATGAGCTGAATCAGGTGTGTTTAATGAGGCAGTGTGCTGCAGTGTTTTGGCCCACGAGGACTGGAGCCTGTCACATGTGATGTAAACCATCTATAGTAGTGCAGGCCAAAGCCCAGCTGCTTGCATGCTTTTTAGCTATGCAAGCTACAGTCATAGTCCTCTCATTCAAATATAGCTTTTAACTGACTTTTAGAGCCATTTCTTCGGCAGACGTCTCAATCCCACCCTAAAAATGATGGACAAGAATCAAACGATTTGCCCACTTCTTCCCCTTACTCCAAATGTAGTCGATCAGCTAAGACCTGTTAGAACAACATGGCTGCTACTGTTGTTTCTAGCTATGCTATATACTTATGTCCATTTGTATAGATAACAGTATGTCATACAGTGTTAAGAGCCACAGAAGGAGTCTATTTGACATACTTAACAGCTCGACATGGTTGGAGGCAAGTGTGAGATGATTCAGATACTCAGTTTGCATAATGCTAAGAGGTGGTTATAACCTTGTTAGATACATGAGCCTCATTGTTCCCACTGCAAAACACATCTTGGTTGATTGATTATGTCTGGGAAGATGAACATTTGGCCAAAGCTATCACAGAGAGAAACTGAGTGAAATGCAGTTTTGATTTACAAACTAAAATATGTACAAACACTTACTCCACACAGTGAGAGACAGATCAGTCTTAAAGCTTCCAGAGGGATAGGTACTAATGGTACAGGTGTATATTCCCTCATCTGCCTGTACTGTATTCATGATAATCAGAGCAGAGTTCACCATGGGGTTAGTGCCCTCGAATCGCACACGGCCTGCATATTCAGGAGATTCTGAGGAAAGACAGAAAAGTAAACAAAAGATTCGAGAAAAATCCCACCAGTCACAGGAAGAGAAATGTAGCTTTTTAACAATTAACACTGTTTTCAGTCACAAATCTTCTATCTTGTACTTTTTCTTCTTGAAAATCTGTTAACTAATGTTTGTCAAATGCTAACTGCTGGAGGAATTGTTTATTATTATTATTATTATTATTATTATTATTAATTATAACTGACATCATTTATTGTACAGCAATAACTATCTCCTGGGTGTGGAGGTATAATATATGGATGCTATAAATGCATTTTTACCTGACTGTCCTTCTGTATGATGAGCAGTTATGATCTGCTCTTTGGTTCCATCTGGTTTTTCCTTTGTCCACATGACCTGAAACACACTCTCTTCTGACGGCTCGAACTGACAGGGCAGCCGTGTTTCACCCTCTGCTACAGAAAACACAGCCGGGGACGAGGGCTCCACGAAAGTCCCACCACGTACACACACCACTGAGAGAGAGAGAGAGAGAGCGTTAAAACAGGGTCTCAATGAACAATCACTGCTGTAGTTTGAAATATGTATTAGAAAGCTAACAACAGCTTAAGTAACCAAAAGGATTTTTGTGGCAAAAAGTCAAACCAAAAATTACAATGTTTGCATTTTATGTAAAAAAGGAGAAAAAAACAGCAGAAATACTTTTAAAAATAAAAATCATCTACTCTGAAAAATGAGAAGTCAGCACTTCCTGTTTATTCTTCTAGTAAAACTACTTCAACTGTCCATTAAACACTTTTTACCCATCATTCTCACTCTTGTGGTTCACAGTCCTGATCGTGCAGTACTGCTGTCCTGAACATTTTAGTGCTCTCTCTGTTCTAAGCCTCTCACACTAGAAGAGTTAATTAATGAGCTAAATAGTTGGTTGGGGTGTGTTAGAGCAGGGATAACAATAAAATATGCAGGCCATGGGTCCAGGCTTCTGTAGTGTACCATCCACTAGAATAAGAAACAGGACATACTTTTAATACTGTAATAACATACCCCTCAAAAAATGAAGTATGCAACACTGCACACACAGTCACTGGCTGTAAATATGAAGTGGAGGGGGAGGAGTCATCAGAGACCACTGCTGTTTGTATTTTCAAATTTTAAAATCAATTGGATGTCCTTGTCCTTCAATAATTGACCGTTTTCAAAAATATGACTGACATGCCTCTCAGCCAATCACAATCATCTCTAAATGTTTCTTTCTCCTCAAACAAACCTGCAGTGAGAACGGAGGTGGCAGTGAACTAGTCAGAATTATTAGACTAAGAAATGGAGGAAGGGAAGTGCTGAAGAACATATAATGCCTGACACTTGCAATTTTGGATTAAACTCATAAAACTCAATACCACACTTATAGCTTATGTTACTCTATTTGCTAAAAATCATTTTGACAATAAATAACACAACAGTGAAATGTTAAGATAATTTAGTTTACTTAACTTGCTGCTCACAGTTAGCTTGATAAATCACTCAGATTAAACGAAACCGTATTAAAATATCATGCATCAAGATAAATGCCCTAATCCACATCATTGTTTTTGTTGTTTTATTAAAGCTTGCTGAAAGACCTTGTGTAAAAAACTCCTCACCACCGGCTAGCTCCAGTGTCCCCACATAGCAGGATGACATTGATTTTTGATGATTATTGATTTTTTATTATGTTGGCTGGGGTTGAAATTTGATGGCAACATGTGTTGGATCAATGTAAAACTATTATTGAAAGTTACCAGCTCCCAACTTTGGCAATAGTGACATTGAAAATACTGTGGTGTCAGCTTAAAGACACAGGAGAGGCCATGATTCTGCTGCGAAAAGTGCTCTTTTATTAAACACCAGCAGAAAAGGCACATAACACAATGCAAATAGTTGGGAGGTCATCGCCAGCCACACATCACTGCTTCATGGTAGACACTCAACCCAACTACCTGAAACCACTGCCTGGCACAAAATAACACAGATAACATGTACACACATTTTAAACTAACAGGACACAGCATCAAGGCATGGCCATGCCCCCAGAGCCTCTACAGCTATATTAATTTATAGTTAACCACGAGACCAAAGTTGGCTCATCACACTGGCATAAAACATTGATTTATAGAAGACTGCAAGATCATGTGATGGACACACCAGCATGAACTCACACGCCCTGTTCTCAGATTCTCTGTTCAGCTGCTGTCTCCATCATGTTAGATAATATTTTCACTCCTGACATTTTTTCAAAGTTCAATGTTTGTGTGATAGACAACACTATTAAAACTGAGCATTAATCACTATAAAGTATTACCTGTTTTACTGTTAAGGTAGCAAAATGTCATGACTTTTCATTAAATCTATGCTAACTAGAGGAAACTAACCATTTTTAGTGGTCATTTATTGAGCTGAGAAAAATGACTGCTTTTGAAATAGAGAGAAAGAAATTATTCTTACTGTCATGCTTTTTGCATAACAACTGGTTAAAAACAGAGTTTGCTTTTATTTTTCAGAGCCTCCAAGAAGAAAGACCTCATGAAGTTTGCTGTTTTGTTTGGTGTTTCATTTGTTACCTTGCTAGTCAGCAAATCTGAATAAAAATACATTTTTGTCTGAAACTGATGGAAAGTGCTGCATGTTTTAGGCCAGCGTTTCTCAACCCTGGTCTTTTAGGCCCGCTGCACATTTTTGAGCTTTTCCTGCTTTAACACACCCACTTTAACTAAGTAATGGGTTGTTAATGAGCTGATTAGTTGAACCAGGTGTGTTGGGAACAGCGAAAACACTAAAAAGTTCAGGGCAGTGGGCCTCCAGGACCAGGGCTGAGAAACACTGTCTAAGATTAAATTGCTCAAGTTGGCTTTTTAAGAAATGATCTTTGCCATAGATAAAGCCAGTTTTTCACTGCAGTAAAAGGATTTTTGAAGGGTTGAAAAGTGACTCAGGTAGCACTGATTCTGAGTTCAATTGATTTTTTTGAACTTTGTGTTGCTGCAGTATAAATTCAGGGTACAAAGGTGGTTAAGAATCAATATTAGATCAGAATGTTGAATGAGTTAACATTGACACTTTAATGTTGATTTCACATTGATTCACTGACTGTTTGCTCTCTGGGTTAGCTTTAGCATTAGCTGTTTTGAAGAGGTAGCTTCCATTGCACAAACCTTCTCCTTGTTATACATGAAAACTTTCTGCTTTAACATTAAGTGACTAAATGATTTCCCTGGTTTATTTAAGTAAATATAGTGTTCAGAATCCATTTTTTGTTCACTTTAAATTGGCCTGCAAACATCTTATCATCTTGTAAAACCAGACTTGAAAAGTGTTCTCTTCTGTGAGCTTGTACTTACTGATCTATTTAGCCTGCTAGTAAAAGTGTTAGAGACTCTACCAGGTAACCTGTACTGAAAGTTTGATGGACATAGTAACTAAGAGAGGCGGCACTTTCTTAGAATTTTGCAAGCATTTAGTTGTATTTCTCTGTGATGTTATTTCTGTTAGGCCTTTTTGGGACATGCAGCTAAGGCTTTCAAAGTGTGGTAAATGGTAAACAGGCATTTTAGGAATTGGAGTGCATAGCATGCTAACAGAGACATATTTGTCAAAATTACATGAAGAACGTTATTAATTTCAAATGATATTGTGTAGTCTGCTACACGTCGGGCTGCCGTGGGGAGCTTAGGGGGTGTGGCCATGTAAAGTGGCTCTCGGTATGCATCATGCTCCTGGGTTAAAAAAGGACATTTTGTGGTTGTTGTTGTTTATTCATAGTTATTGGTGCAGTTATGACTGAGGAAGTGCGTTTTGTGCGTGCTTATCTACCCTCCTCGCATGTCATGTCCTCCCCCTGCCTGGGGGGTTAACGCTGGGCTGGGTTAACCTCTGTTTAAGTGCCTGTTAAGAAATAAGAGCATTTGCCCGTACGCACAGTGCTGTCTGTGTCGTCTTCTGTGCCAATGCTACAATATTGCCAGAGTTCTGTGAAACTTGTTCAATTTCAGAACAGAAGCTACTGGAAAACATGAATAGATCAACTGAACTGACCGGTACCAAACTTTCAGAAGATCGAAGACAGCATAAAAAGACAGCAGAACTGCATGCCGATTGTAGTAGCCTTACATTTTTCATGACAGGACCCTAAAAGGCAGAGAGAACTCAAAAACAAGAAAGAAAGACGAGAAAGAAAACAGGAGGGAGGGAGTGTGCTGGAGGCAGGGAGGCGAGAAAAACAGAGTCTGGAAGAGATTTAATGGATGAAGGGCAGATATGCTGCTCAACTTGTTGTTCAGTGTCTGAACAATAATTATCTCTGGGTGGAAAGAAAGCAACACACCCACATAAACACACACACGGTCACACAAACTTCACCTAGTTAATATGGGTGCAAATTCAGATTTTTAACAACAGCCACCATATGGAAAAAATCTTAGCAAGAAAAGCGCAATGGGTCTTATAATTGTTCTCAGAACACTTTATATGTCATGCCTCATTTCACAGGCTGCTAATGCACTTGACTGTGGTTCAATGCCCAGAATATGAAGCTACCTTAACTAGAATCAGTTCCCTGACGGCCAGAAGTCATTTATATAGCAACTCCAAGTTAATGCTGAATTCCACATACTTTTCAAATTTTCTGCATAATTCAACCATTGTGATTGTAAACAAAGTCATTCAGAATGTTTTGATGTCAAATGGTTTACTGTAGAGAAATTTACTGACTCTAATTTCTTTACAGTGGTGGTGATAGGAACCAGGGGTCACACTGTCTACAACACATATAGCCATTTTATTTACTATACAAAATGACCGGTGAATCTACACATCTTCAGTTTTATATGTGATGGTAAAATAGTGGTAATCTGAAAAAATATATTGAAGTTAGAGATTAATTTGTCTTACAATACCCTGAATGTACCTGTCTGCCATGAATGACGTTTTTAAAAAATACATTTTAGGCCAAAACTTTATCTCAAACTTTATTATAAAACAATGTCTAAGGAATCAGGCAGCATATTCATAAATGTAATAGCTTTGTGTGAAGCAGCTTTTAGAGCCATGAAACTTTTCAGAGATCTGGTTCCTGTCACCACCACTGCAAACAATGCTCACTCTGCAAACTCTGCAAATTTCTCCAGAATGAAACATTTCACATCAAACCACTCTGAAATAACTTAAACTTAGAATTAACCCTTTAAACCTGTTAAACAATAACAAGCAGATCATGATTTGAACATTATTGTTTTTTTTTGTGCCTGAAACTATCACTGAAGTCATCATATACTCTCAGTAAAAAGGTAGTAAACTGTCACTGAGGTTTTACCCACAAGGGTACATCTCAGGAGCTTTAGTCATGGAACATAACTGTACCATAATCCATTAAAATGATATTTTCCAAGTTGTATTGACTCCACACACCCCGTCTCGTCTCCAGGCTTCTTATTTTATTGTTCTTTTATAAAATATTAGGTTACGAAAAGGTACTAATACGTACTTTTCTCTGGGAAAAAACTTATTTAAGATTTGTACATGTACAGTACCTTGTAATATAATGATTGTAAACAAAACAGGCATCTAGACAAAAATCCCTCACAGTCCAGTGGTTTCTTGTACATGTAGACAGTTTTGTGGTTTGAATAATTTGCTGTAATACTGTATGATGCAGTATCTGACCTGTCCATCCCCCTCACTGTTGCTCTATGTATTACAAATCTAACTCCAGTAATCAAAGGGGAATAAATGTAAATAAATGCTGCATTCTATGTGTAATAACTTCTGTCATTGAACCGTTTTTACCCCAAAAAGACATGAGAATAAAATATACACACTTAGGCCTACTAGTCCCACACTATGTGTTAGGGAGGGCCATCCTGTAGTTCTGAATCACACACACACACACACACACACACACACACATTTGTCTTACATTACTAGTGAGGACTAGCAGGAGGTAGGAATTGATTTTCTATTGATTTTTGTATTACTTTTTTTATTACTGTAGCCACGTAATGCTACACCTAAACCTAACCATAACCTCAGTATCCAACAGGCAATTTTTCTGCTCTTTTAGTTTAAAAATGTAATTTGTGGCAAAAAAAAAAAAATTCTCAAGTAAGAACTAGCAAAATGTTTAATGTTGAAATATATGTGTATATATATATGAGGACATGTAGTCCTCACAAAGTTAGCAAGACGAGCACACACACACACACACACACACACACACACACAGAGAGAGAGAGAGAGAGACAGGAGGTGAGTCGATATTCATAACCAGTTCTTCCTGAAAAGTCAGACAGCTGTGGACGTGTTGAGGTCTGGAGCAAAAGCTTCTTGAGCAACAAGTGAGAGAAATTCTTCAGAAACACAAAACCAGACACAGTTCAACCGAAATACTCACATAAATGACACATGAGCAGAATCCTGGAGCAGATGAATACTGAGGTCATCCTCGGTGCTTGGATTTTCATCCTAACTCAAATGTCAAATGTCAATAGAGTTCACTGCAGGAAAGTACATCGACAAATAAGCAAAAAAAAACAAACAAAAAAAACAAATAAAAAAAAAACCAAAAAGCCCAACTAAACAAAAATAACTCAGGTTCTGCTAAAGTGCAGAGTCTGAATCAATGAACCGTTAATCCCTGGCTTTCTTCTCGTTATTCCGTTTTCCACTCGGCTGTAGTAATGAATAAAAAAGACCAAACTCCGAGTAGAATCCACATTAGAAACGGTTACTGGTCACTTTTGGTCGCCGCTGTCCAAAACACGGACTTAGACGTTGCGCTCAAACAGTTCAGTCCTTCATGATCTGGTCTGTGGAGCAGCGCGTCTCTCTGAGCGCGTATTCGCCGATGAGCTCTAAAAGCCGAAGAGTCCGCTGGAAAAAAGGGTTTTATTTCGTACTGAACACTGAACACTCGTACTGACACTAAAATCAGTTTAAACGACCTGAATCTGTCCCGAAAGCTGAGCCGTGATGTGAGTATCTGCTGCAGTCTGACTGGAGGTTTCCCTCGCAGACACCTGTCCGCTCACCTCGCCCTCGCGCGCTCACACTGTCAGCAGTAGCGGGAAGTTCGATTCAGTTGACTGAACCGACTCTTTCGAATTTTTCGATTCAATAATTCGAACGTCCGATTAAACGATTCATTCTCCTAAGTGAGGGAGTCCAGTGTTGCCGCCGCAGCCCTGTAAAATTCCTGGACACTCCATCTGTGACTTTGAATCTTCAGGCCATACATTTGGGTAGAATATATTGTCAGACTACACAAGGTAGATGGATTAGGTTGAAAAAGAATCGGCTCAAAAGAACCGACTGCTTGACGATTCGGATGTCGCTAATTGCCACACTCATCTTTCAGGTTCTCTGGAACTCACAGCAGTGTCTAAAGGAAGAACACAAACAAGCCAAGCGCTGTTTATGAGGGAAAGCTGGATATTCCTTAACTGCTCTGACATCTGCCAAAAAAACCTTTTAAATCTTTTGGTAACTACATGGTAATTATAATGTAACTACAGACCTGCTAAAGATACTTTGTATGTTGTAATCTAAGCAATCTTTAACCTTAAACCTAGCCCTATCTATCTGATCCCTTACTGATATTCTGTCTTGTATCAAGGCATCTCCTCCTCTGACAGATACGTCTCTTTAAAACACCCCTAGATCACCAAACAGGAGAATTTGAACCATGTCTGATGGCTGTGCTTAGATACATATACACTGCCTGTGCTATCAAGCCTGTCATGAAAGGAACGGCTTCTACTTGTACTTTTTTTCTGCTTTGTTTTGAGTGGGAATGCATTTTGTGGATCTGGTTGCACCTCGCCTAGAGGTGAAGAGACACCATAACCTTTAAACTTGTTCTCCATTAAAAGCAGTTAGAGCCTGAGGCTCTACAGCATAGGAGAGATTATCTTACCAAAAGCAGCAAGACAGAACAACATATTTCTGTAACGTGAGCTTTTTTCAGAAGATTCATGTTGTCGTTTGTGCACGTTCTTTGGCTAATCTGAGTTTTGTTTGTTAGGACCCGTTATTGGTAACGACTATCAGAGCCATGTGCTGATGCCATCTGGTGCCAAATGTAAGTACTCACACAGCACTCACAAAAGCTTATTACACCTCCTGCCCTTCAACATGTAAACTGTTACACTTATCATCTGTACCCAGACTTAAAAAACTGAATTGAGAAAGCTTCAATGGAGGTTGGGGGGATAAAAAGTAAACAAATAGCTTATGTTTTTTCTCATTGTTTCTGGCAGCAATATGTACAAATTTTGACTTATTTTGTCAAAATATTGTCTTATCATGTCAAAAGTATGACTTAGTATCTTGTAATGACTTTATATGTCATTAAAAACTTAGTTTTATAAAATATTGACTTGCGATATTGCAAAAAATGACTTTCCCAAAATACTTACTTAATGTCATCATAATTATTGAATATTATGTTCAACTTGCAATATCAAAATAATGACACTCATAATGAAAACGTATTAATCCAATATAATTACTCACTTATTATTTTAGGAGAGCAAATCAATATTAAAAAAGTAAATATTTGGAGAAAATAAGTATTTTGAGAAGAAAGAATTTACATTTTAAGATGCTGAGTCAATATGAAGAAGCAAAGATGGATGGGGAATAACACAAACACACAAAACAGGCGATTTTTTTACCTTTTTTTTGTTTTAAGAAAATGAGTCAATATCTCAGGAGCGTAATTAGTATTTCAAGAAAGTAAGACAATATTTTGACACACTGATGTCAGAAAGTTTAGAAAAGGGAGGAAATCAAACCAAACATTTTTTTCACCTCTACCTCGCAGGAATGGGATTCTATACACTTCAACTCAAGAACGGCTTGTTAATCAGCAGATCTGTTGGATCAGTTGTGCAAGAGCAGGAAAACCTCCAAAAATGTGCAGGCCCTTCCAGGATCACTGTTAGAACCGCTGGTGTAAAGCATTTGGGTTGGGTTCACAAGGTAATGAGCACTGCTGCCACTAGGGGAACCAAATCTTCTGAAAAAGGAGTCAAACATCTGAACTGTTTGCAAGATACTGAATATTCTCTTAAGTAAACTCTTATATCCTTTCCAAAACCAAAGGCAAAGGTAATACAAATCCAATGACGTGGAATGTACCTGAATATGAGTACTGCATGTCAGGTAACTTTAATGATAGCGAGACATGCTATGATCTCAACTGTGATTGCTGAAACAAAAATGTCATCCCCAATTTGCATGGTATTATCCATAACTTAGGCATGAGTGAGCAACAAAGTAAAAACTGCCAAGGCAAATTTTATAAAAAATAAATTAATTAACAAAAAAAAAAGGTAATTATGAGGTCATTTCTTTCTGTTCTACAGTCCACATGAATCTGACTGGTTCAGCTAAGATGCATCTTTTTGCTGATCATTTGATCGGTCCTTTGTATCTTCGCTCTTTTCTGTGACTGGCTCACATGTGCCCGAGTCTCTATCAGAGTCTTCCTCCTCCTCATCATTGCCCTGCTCCTGCATGTCTTCTTGGCCTACAGGTACAGCCCCTTTCCGCTGGGGCAGGACAGTGAAGAACGCCTCCTTCCAGTCCCGTTTCTCCAGATACGCCAGCAAAATCTCAAACACTGCGGTAAAAGAAGTCAGTGGATTTATGTTTAATGATTTTCATCAACTTGCATCACATTTAAAGTAATATTCCAGTGTATTTCAACCTAATTTCTGCCTGCTGCATCTGGATCATGTCATCAATGACCACGGACAATCATTTTGGCGTGTTGCCCTTTACAGAAAACTTGTTGTGTCCAAACTCTTGCATAATATAGAAGCCATCGGGCAGTTGCTGAATTCTGTTAGTAAATGTCTGCCACTATATACACAATCACCATTATATTCTGATGAAAAATGTGTTACAATGAGACATTGAGAGAATGTCTTAAAGGTTTATCCTACTGTTGAACACTGTACTGTCAAACAATGCAAAAAGTAAACTGCCTATGCCTGTGAAAACTCCACCCACAGCACTGTGCTGATATCGAGTTACCACAAATTCCTCTTGGAAAACTAGGCGCATCACTGAAAGAACGAATGATAAAGGTTTACGGCTTAATACACAAACACGTTCAACTAATGAACCCATAAAAGTAACTTACAAAAATACAAGTGCATAATTATTTACTGACATCATTCAGCAACTGCCCAATAGCTTCTTTTACATATGCTTTTTTCAACAGGCTGAAACATGTTCAAACTGTCTGTAATAATAAACTGTCTGATATAGACACAGCAGATGGAAATTAGTTTAAAAAAACAAAACGCTGTAGTATTGCTTTAAAGCTTCTGTAAGAGAAAGGGGTAGTACTGGTAAGTTCCTGAGTAAAACAATGAGGTTCTATCAGCAGTACTGTTTTTTGTAATTGTTTCTTCTATGACTACTCAGATGTACTTCACCACATCCTTACTGCTGTTGCTAAATGACTTAAGAGTATTAATATACTCAGTCTCAAAAGATTTCCAGATTCAGAACACATTTGTGTAAATATTTCCCCCCTCACAGTTTCTGGCAAGCATTTAGCTTGCATTTATAAAACATTTACATTTGAAGTATACAAATTTGCATTTTATGTTTCTCTATGTGTTTCATGTGTGTGCAGCCCCCTAACCGTGGTTGACGGCAAGCACTTTGCGGCTGTTCATCTTCACAAAACTGCCCAGTGGGAGTTGAGCATGAGCAATTCCAAGCTCTTTGGCACGATCAAAAGTGATCCCCTGAAACACATGATGATGGAATATCATAAAAACATCAAATCTGACTGAGAACATTTTCCCTTTTTACATCAGAAATATATGGAAAATTCAGTATAAGTAATTTGTTAGTGGCAATTCTTGTTTCAACACACATAAAACAAATCGAAAGTACTGTGCAAAAGTCAAACACTACCCTTTTTTCATTTTTAGTCAAAATGGCCATTAAGTTCAGTGTCAAGAAAAAAAACTGAAAACATACATTTAACACAAATTTACAGAGAAGCCTCAACAACTACATATAAAATACATTTTTCAGTATTTAGTGTTTATCACAGCTTTCATTCTTTTGGGCAACTTGTGTTCAGTTTTTCAAAGAAATCTGCAGGGATATTTTTCCACACCTCCTAAGTTCAGTCTTAGAAGTTGGTTGCATTTTCTACTTCTCACTTTCCAAGTAATCCCAAATACATTCAGTGATGCTGAGGTCTGGACTTCCAGTCCAGTATGTCCAGTCCATTGTTCTGAGAATACCAGGAGCTTCTTTGTTTGATTTGCAAACTTTCTTCTATTTTGTCTGTTTTATTCTCTCAGTAACAGCTTCTTGACAGATGCAGATCTTTTCTGACTCATAGCATTGACTTGTCTTGTCTCACTGGAAAGATGGACAGATACACGTGTGGATTTTTTTTTCAGATCTGAAGCAAGAGTGGAGCTTGATTTTCAAGCTAAGTAATGTTTATCTGATGGTGGCAGTTTGGTCATCTACTGGGTCTTGCATGGTTGTTAGGAGTCCCATTTTCTCTACATCTTTAAAATTGAGTTTTGGAAACTCCTGTTTTTTTCTTCACTTATTTACCTTTGACTTTCCCCATAATTACACAAGTGGATTATCTTATATCTGGTCTCCTTAGAAATATCTCCTGAAAAATGAATTAAAAACATCAAAACAAAAAGGATGTTTTTTGACATTTGCACAGTTTTGTATATGGCAGATGTCTTCAAATCTGGACCTTGAATCCAGTTTCCAGTCTGGTATTTTGTAATCACAGGTAGTTCAATGAACTGTTGATAGAGCTGATTGGCCACCTAGTGCTATACGTACCGGTGACTGCAAAATTCAGGAGTGGAAACTGGATTCGAGGTCCAGATTTGAAGACCTCTGGTATATGGTATTAGTTACTGCTAAGTTGTGTTACACATGCCACTTACAACCAACCTTATGGTGGTTGTGGTCCACTAGGCCTCCAATCACGTAGGCTTTGTTCTCATCCAGCTCCTGCAGTACATTGGGCGAATCAGAGGTCAGGTACACCAGATCCTCTTTGTTTAAGACTTCATGAAAGTGCTCAGGCTTGATATGGACATCCTATATGAATTGAAATGAGTGGGGAGAAGGCAAGTTCAATATGTTAAAGTCATTGACTTCTAAAATCCAATACTCATACCCATACCACCTACCACACACCTACCCACAGCACCCTCCACGATACAGTTTCTTATCCCGTGGTCGAGTATCAGATAGTGTATTTGAAAATGAGATGGGTTACAAATATACTGGATGGAACTGATTTATGTTTTACTAGTATGAGGGTTGTTTGAGAATGACTGAAGAGGTAAAAACCACCTGGAAACATTGATACAAGAGACTACAGGCTAGTGGATTTGATTCCATGGGTTTTAGTAGCAGCACTGAAAATAGATTTAAATGTCGAAAATCCACTTGAGTATTAAAAAGTCATGCTTTTATCCTTCACAGACTCTGTGCATGTTTAAATGGAAGGTCAGATGTGCCAAACTAAGTCAACATACTGACTGACTTATAGGGTTACTTTATGTCTTAATAAATTTACAAGCTGCCTTATGAGTAAATCGAGTATTCCACAACATTTTTGCCTCACTTTACAGCTGACTGTATTACCCACCACTACGACTAAGCACAGTACTCTCTTTGAGGTTTTCATAGCTGTAAACTTATGAAAAGGACAGTGGCATTTTATGACGCTATAGCTGCTTTGTATCCAGACATTACTGCAGAATTAATTACAATCAAACAGAAATCTTACCTTCCAGTTCACCCAGCCTTGATTAATTTCATCCATGTTTTGTTTCAACTGCCCACCATGGCTTGTTATATAAAACTGTAGAAGAAACAGTCTACATGTCAAAATGGCACAGATGCAGATTAAAAACATATACAGAAAAAATCCGACATGACAACTAATTACCTGCACCCGGTGCACAGCGCGTCTGTTCTCCGCATAGCACCTCTGGATCTGCTTGTGGAGTTTCTTTACATCCTGTAAATTAAAATCATCCATTCAAATCATTAAAATACAGACATAAGTTATTCCTGGCTTGACTTGAATATAATGTTGACATGTAAGGCACTGTAATCCCATAACTAATATTACTAACACATCTTTTTTTTTTCCCCCCTGATCAGGTTTTTTTTTTTTAAGATCCCAACCCCAACCAGAGCTCTACAAATCTGAGTATCTGCTGATGGAGAACTGCTCTGACATTTCATTAGATAATAGAATCACACAGTGCACACTTCAAGTACTTCAAGTTAGCAAAACCTGAATTACTTTAAATTGCACAAAGTGTGACATTCTGAACTGCCAACTACTAAAAAAGTAATCAAAATTTGATACTTTTTTTGGAATAACTATTTGTGGCCATTTCAATATGTTATGGAAGTTGACTAACACAATGTGCAGCAACAGTTGAGCTATTGTTTCCACCCTACAAGGTACATAGGAGTACCAGCACACACTAACATATTACTACCATGTCAGTGTCACTGCAGTGTTGAGAATGATCCTCCACCCAAATAATACCTGCTCTGGTTTATGTAGCATTACCTTTACCAATAAGTGTGTAATAGCCTGTGCTGGGCAGAAAATAGTAGCAATGGCTAAATACTGAATACACTGTCATAAATGTATTCATTAACATAGTCCTTTTCAATATATGAAAAGTAACACATTCAGAAAACATTTAAAATTCGTATTGATAAGGCTCATGGGAAAATCTCTGCTGTTGTCATTTTTTAAGTTCACAGTGTTCCTCACTTTTAGTGGTTGACAGTTTTCTTTATGTAATACTTCTGTTAATAAGTTTCATGAAAAATTAAAAAGTTACAAAATTCTCAATTATTTTGACTCTTATCAACTGTTTCAGTCCTCTGCTGTTCCTATAACCTCATAGCCATCTCATGAACTAGGCAAACAATTCATCATACTGAAATAACAAACTCTAATCTGCTAATTTGACTATAAAGTGGGTAGCTAGTTGATGTGCAAGTTGCCACGAAACGCATTACACCGATGTTAAGCTTATTACTCATGAACATGTCCACTACCGAGGAGACTGTTCAGTTCCATCCCCCCCCTCAAAAGATTTTAGTAATGCAGAGATTAATAACTGATCATACATATCAATTTAGCATCAACTCAGGCTTGACAGAGCTCAAACACTGAGATAAATAACTGATCATCACATTGATTTATCAGTCTACTCAGACTTAGCAAGAACTTCAGTGTTTGTAAAGAAGCCTTTTTTTGAGTTTTTCTTTAGAGTATCTTTACAGAACATGCACTGATTTTATAACAGTTAATAAACAAGCACTGATTTTCTCCTGAAAAGATTTAAAATGTAAAAACTGCATTAAAACAAAATTTAAAAAATGTATTTTATGCAGTGATGCTGACTGTTGGCTTTGAAGTTGGAAGCTAATAACAATACTAGTGACAATGTGTATCCACTTAAGACAGGAAGACACATGGTTGGGGTAAATGGAATAATGGTTAATCTAAATGTTTTGACTTTTTTTTTAACTCTTTTCTAAACTAAACACAGTACATAAATCAAGCAGCCACTTTCTGTCATTTATACCAAGTTTTCTTATCCCTTGCAAACTGATTATAAATATTCCAGGTGACGTGTGATAAACTAGCATTATCCCACACTCGTAGAGGAAAATGAATCCTGTCAATAGTGCTTTAGTGGCATAAAGGAAGCACAATGGGGCAGCCTTATTAAAAAACTGGATTTGGCTAGGGCTTAATATAGTCAAACCCAATCCATCAAAATACAACTTAATCAGCTTCTGTCTTGATCAGCTAACTGTCGCTATTATATGAATATAAATGTGAACATGACATGGATAAATGTGCAATAACACTACTTGAGGGGAGGGACTCTATGGGCTGGGGGAAATTCTTACCTTTAGCACCATGAGGTTGTCAAAGCTGCAGTCTATGACCAGGCGGAGAGGACTGGGCTCTGCTTCTCTGCGCAGACGCTTTCTGCTTGCATACTCAGGTCCATCCTCAGCCTGTGTCTGTCTCTCCAACTTCCTCTGCTGTTTCCTCTCCTTGCGCTTCTGCCTGAGCAACCAAGGGAGAACCACAAAGGCACAAACTCAGGCCATAACAAAAACATTGCAACAAGACAACCATAACTCAGACTAACACAAGAAAACAGCAAGCATCTAATGGGTTGACATCATGGGTATCTTTTCAACTATCACAAGAAAAACGTGTTTAATAGTAGTTTGTTGTTTGGAGAATATCACTGATATAGTGGTGATTGTTTCATTAATGAAACTTTAAAGATGACTGAGGATAGTTTATCATTTATTTTACTATTAATGTCATGTTTACTTGCGTAGGTCTCTCTGTTCTTCCCATTGCTGCTGTTTGAGAAGCCTCTTTCTCTGCCTCTTTGACAGTGTCTCAGTTTCTCCACTCTGGACCTCCTGCTTGGTTCCATTAGCTTGGGGATCTCTGTTGTCATCCTGCGTTGCAGGCACAGTGACTGCATCAGAGGCCATGCTTCTGGCCACTCCTGAAGGAAACAGTTTAAAAGACCAATGAAAGGGAGAGGAAAAACACTGAGTGAGAAATATCTCACCTGCTTGAGCCAGGGCCAGTCTGAAAAAGGCAGATACATAACTGTACGACGATAAAGATGGCTGTAAATGTACAAATTCTGATTATTTTGATTACTCATTCACAGGCTGAAGTTTGGTGATTTCTCAGCTCAAACACAGCTGAGCTTGAGAAGCAATTAGTTCCCATGCTCTGCTCCGTTGGTGTCATTCAGCTACAAATAAGAAACTCACTCCAGCCAGTGATTAAAAAACCGCGAATATCTAACGTCAAGCAACGTCTCCGTCGTATATACACTGCAGTCTTCAATATCACAAGCCAAACTCTCGAACTGTGTAGCTTATGTAGCGGTGTTAGTTTGCGCTACTTGGCGTTTTAGACGTCTTTAGCAGCTTTAGCATCTCTTTCTCTCTCTTTAAGGGTTATCAGTATGACAGGGAGACTTGCCCTCTGAGTCAGAAGACCACAAAGTGCACAATGTTACACACAAAGGAGTCGTAATGTTACTAAACACAACGTTACTTTAAACTTGGTTTCAAACTCCTGCTAACTCACCTTATTTTCATCCAGACTGCTGTGCAGCGCGTGGTCCCGCTGCTGCGTCATTTCACTGCGCCTTTGGCGCTGAGGCAGCAACTCTCCGCCATGTTTGTAAGGTCAACATGAAGAGGGCACGACGCTTCTTTCGCACAGAAACGCCTTGATTTAAAATACGTGACAGTTAATACGGAAAACAGACAAATCGCAGTTTTCAGCATGTGCCACATGTCATGTGTTTGAGCCAAATGTCACTTGTCGTTGTTGTTGTCAATACACAAAAGCTTCAAAAATGACAGTGTACGTTACACGTTATCTACCTTCAGTCGTGTGATCCTTACCCCTTAACTCTCCAGTCACGTTTGGTTTGACTTTGTCTTTATAGCCTGTTTCCTAACAAAAAGGAAATGCAGTAAAATTGCAGCAGTACTGCACTTCAGTGTTGTACAGCTAAGTACAACTGCAGTTTTACTGCATGGCACGCTGAACTGTAGTTGTACACTAAACTACAGTTACACTGAACTGTAAGAACTACAGTTACAATACACTGAACTGTAATTGTACTGCACTGAACTACAGTTACACTACACTGAACTGTAAGAACTGCAGTTACACTACACTGAACTGTAAGAACTACAGTTACACTACACTGAACTGTAATTGTACTGCACTGAACTACAGTTACACTACACTGAACTGTAAGAACTGCAGTTACACTACACTGAACTGTAAGAACTACAGTTACACTACACTGAACTGTAAGAACTGCAGTTACACTACACTGAACTGTAAGAACTACCCTTACAATGCACTGAACTGTAATTGTACTGCACTGAACTACAGTTACACTACACTGAACTGTAAGAACTACCCTTACAATGCACTGAACTGTAATTGTACTGCACTGAACTACAGTTACACTACACTGAACTGTAAGAACTGCAGTTACACTACACTGAACTGTAAGAACTACAGTTACACTACACTGAACTGAACAGGTTTTTCACAAAAACTGTATCACTCTGCTGAGACGCCGTTGCTAAGCAATGAGTTTGACAGCTGTAGGAGATGCTCAAGCCATTTGAACGTTTTTACTTCTTACTTTGCGCACAAACAGAAAATGGATACTTTTAAGATTACATTTGACCTACAGATGAGACTACACTCAATTCCCAAACTGTCATCACCACTGAGCAGCTTTTCATTCGGCAGCTGTGACAGAAGAACAGCTAAACAACCTGGAATCAGCCAGAAATGAACCGTATACCATTCACCAAACAAAATGGGCTATAAGATGCTTTACAGACTGGCTGGAACAAAACAACATTAATACTGATTGAGTAAAAATTGACAAAACTGACCTACACTTGATATTATGGCAGTTTTATGGCTCAGTCCGATTTGGTCAGACTCTGAAGATCAGACTACACCTTTGGCGAATGGTATTCGGTTCATTTCTGGCTAATTCCAGGTTGTTTAGCTGTTCTTCTGTCACAGCTACCGACTGAAAAGCTGCTCAGTGGTGATGACAGTTTGGGAATTTAGTGTAAGGAGCTGGAGAATGATCTGCCGGCTGTGCAGCGAGTGAGCGGAGTTCTGACATAGCAACAAGCTGCTTGTTAAGGAACTATAATTTGGCGGAAAGAACTGCTAACATTAAAACATATTAAATGCCATGTTCACAGCCCAATTTATTTATTTATTACTTTATTATTTTTTAAAGAATTTAGGAGTAGTTTTGTTCCACAATGGGGGAAGAATGGTTATTGAACATGCTAATCTCAAAAGCAAGCGGTGTTTCATGTAATTGTTCTAGATTTGCAACATTTTAAAAATTAAAGCTTTCATTTCCGAATTTCTGAAGCTAGCTTACAAGAGGAGATCATGAGACAAAATCTTTTTTGTTTTAACCTGTCAAGCAGTGGCAAATTATAATTCTCTAATTTTATCAGCCTCCTCAAGACAGACCTATCCAAATCTGTGCTGATGATAGTACAGCCATTAAGAAACCACTTTCAGATACCCCAGTGTTAAAGGCTGTGTGAGCAGAAATAAGCAGTACCCTATGATTGAGGAGAGTATTGTACTAATTTCCACATGTCTGAGCCAAGAAGAAAAGAAAACCAAAGGAAACTTCATACCTGCATCATCCTGCAAATGTTTATTGGTTGTGTTCTTTGGTTCTTATAGTTTATATAGCACCTTTGTAAAACCCCAAAAGCAGCTGTTTTGTATTTAGTTTGATTGACTATGCTTTTGATTTGGAACATATTTAGTATTAGAAGCTCAGAAAAATGGACAGCTAACGCAAAGTAACAAGGAGACACATTCTTTAAAAAAGCATATAAACAGCAGTTTGAAGCGACTACTGAGGTGCCTCTAAGTTCAGATCTTACCAAATCTTGACAAATGATGTTTTAAGCTGAAATATTTGTATGGTCCTCTAATTTTAACAAATGACGACCAAGACTTTACCAAAAACACCTGACATTGTTTATCATACCTCAAAAGTATCCTATAAAAAATCTTATAATCACTTCTTGAGTTCACCGTGAGCTACAGACTGTAGACACATTTAATAAAAGGCAACGTTATGTGTTTTGGTGAGGTGTTGGGCTGCCACCAGACGCCAGAGCTACATTAAGGCGCTTTGGCATAGATTCTACAAGTCCCTGGACCGGCACTGGAGGGAGGGAACACACTGTGCTCCCAAAATATATTCCCTCAGTTGGTGTGATAGTGGAGGACAGCGCTGTCTAACGTCAGTCCAACTGGTTTAAATTTACATTGTTTTCATACTCATCAAATGCACTTACTTGTTTAACCTAAGAATAACTCAACCATAACATTGTAGTCCATGTAGTTATGAAATAATAAGCCTTAGTTAATGCCTTACATGGCCAGGGTCCACCAGCAGGCCCAAAGTTTTATTACACACTTCTATAACCTAAGAATAGCTCAGCCAGTTTGCACTGAAGTCCCTTTAGTTACTGAACAATAAGCCTTAGTATGTAAAAAGCCTGGGATTTTAAGGAGTTAGATTAGATGATGAAAAAGAGCCAAAAGGAGTGAATTCTTTAATACGTAAAGTCAGCTCATTCCAATGGTGGGCTGCTCTTTCTGAGAAAGCTGACTGTGTCCTCTAGTAACTGATCTAGTGGACCTATTTTCACTTGTTTTCTGCTTAATGAAAGCAGTTAGGGGATGAGGATCCAAACCATGCAAGATCAAACCGAAGTAAGTTATCCTTTCTTAATGTTTGTTTAATATTAAAGCAATGATGGCAACTGCTGGACTTTCTATCAAGCCCTTTAACACCCTGATGATAAACCATAGACTAGTGTTGCGCTGTCAAAAAGTCAAATATGGAACAATGATTGCATAGTGTTGCTGCTTCAGTGGTTAAACAATGTCTGGTAGTAAAATCACATACACTCTCAGAAAAAAGGTAGGAAAACTGTTACTGGGGCAGTACCCCTCTTGTCACTGGGGTGGTTCCCTCAAGGGTACATCTCAGTACCTTTAGTCAGGGAACATAATTGTACCACAGTCCACTGAAACTATACAACCTCATTCCCAAAAAGGTTGGGAACGCTGTGAAAAATGCAATGATGTGCAAATCATTTAAACCCTATATCTCATTGAAAATGCTTCAAAGACAACATATTAAATGTTGAAACTGAAAAATTGTATTGTTTTTTGAAAAATATATGCCCATTTTAAATTTGATGCCAGCAACATGAACAAAAAATTGGGACGGGGCAACAAAAGACTGGTAAAGTTGTGTAATGCTTAAAAAAACACCTGGTGGTTAATTGGCAATAGGTCAATAACATGATTGGGTACAAAATGAGCATCTTAGAGAGGCTGAGTCTTTCAGAAGTAAAGATGGGGAGGGGTTCACCACTCTGTGAAAGACTGCACAATACAATAGTGCAACAATTCAAGAATAACATTTCTCAACATAAAATAGCAAAGAACTTTTGCTTTTCATCATCTTCAGTACATAATAACATTAAAAGATTCAGAGAATCTGGAGAAATCTCTGTATGCAAGGGACAAGGCCAAAAGCCAGTATTTGCTGGCCGGGATCTTTGGGCCCTGAGGCAGCACTGCATTACAAACAGACATGACTCTGTAGTAGAAATCACTGCATGGGCTCAGAAAAACTTCTGAAAATCACTGTTAATGAAAACCGTTTGTCGCTGCATCCACAACTGTTTATTAAAACTCTTAAATGCAAAGAACAAATCATATATAAACAGGATCCAGAAACACTGCCACCTCCTCTGGGCTTGAGCTCATTTAAAATGGACTGAGAGGAAGTGGAAAAGTGTTCCGTGGTCTGACGAATCAACATTTACATTTCTTTTTGGAAATCATGGACACTGTGTCCTCCAGGCTAAAGACCACTCAGCTTGTTATCAGTGCACACTTCAAAAGCCAGTATTCATGATGATATAGGGGCATTTATGCACACGGCATGGGTAACATGCACATCTGTGAAGGGCACCATTAATGCTGAATGCTATATATATGTTTTGGCAACATATGCTGCCATCCAGATTACGTCTTTTTCAGGGAAGGCCTTGATTAAGATTAATTAAGCAAGACAACGTCAAACCACATTCTGCACTTATTACAACAGCATTGCTCCTTATTAAAAGAGTGCGAAACTGACCTGCCTGCAGTCCAGATCTGTCACCACTGAAAACATTTGGCACATTATAAAATGAAAAATACGACAAAGGAGACCCTGAACTGTTGAGCAGCTGAAATCCTATGTTAAGCAAAAATGGGAAAACATATCACTTTCAAAACTATAGCAATTGGTCTCCTCATCTCCAGGCTTTTTATTTTACTGTTCTGTTTTTAAACCTTAGGTTTTGAAAAGGTACAAATATGTATTTTTCCACTGGGAAAAACTTATTTAAGGTGCACGATTGAACTTTAAAACCACTGTTGTACCTTTGAGAGTACATTTACATTGTTTGTACCTAGATGAATGAAAAATGTACCTTCATAATACCGTTGTTTCTAACAGTGTAGATCTTGATCTAAAATT